CTCCACAATACTGCCTTCCTTGTGAAACAGCCTTCAGCTTTCTGAACGAGTCGATACTGACTAGATCTCACTATGTTTCGAAACACAGCTGTTGGTTCGCTTTGAAACGACTGAGCTTGAAAGTCCAAACGGCTCCTGATAATGAGGCCCACTGGTGCTGTATGTTCTGACACTGGTCTAGGGCTGCTGGTCACTGGCTGGCTCTCCTCTTACTGCAGTCCATTGTTTTTGTGTGTGTGGGCAGCAGCAGATGTGTGGCATAGACCCAGACTTGCTGTGTAATGTGCCTATAGCACAAAGTGCTGGGAATTGCTTGTTATTCCTCCCTCTCCCATTACATACTTCCAGCACCACATCGGCATGCCACGCGAAGTTGTGGTTAGCTTTTTTTTGTCTTACCACAGGACTGGATGTTTTTTTTTTTCAGTTTGTTTTACACACGTTCTTTTTTTTTGGCAATGTTAGAAGCTTGTCTCTACAGCCCAAAGTATAATTCGCCCACATTTCCCAACTGTCCATGTAAACCAGTTTTCGTCATTGTGTCCACGGGCACCATCTGTGTGCAGCCCAATATACAGCAAGCACAGGTACAACAAGCACAGGTGCGAGGTGAATGTTGAGAAAGAACAAGTCTACTAGGTGGTACTGTGCATGTCTCAAACTCGTTCATCTGCGCTCATGTGGGTTTAGTAAGCTTTGAAAGCTGTGCAGACATGGGTGTGCGTGAGACGGAGCTGAATGTAGAAAAGGAAGTATATCCGGTAGGGCTGCACGATAAATCAAAAATAAGCCGCACACGATTTGGCAGTTGGCTGCGAATGATTTAAAAAAAAAATTAAATAAAATAAAATTTTATGCGCAGCTTGTCAGAGAAGTATGGTTGAATGATGCTGCATCTAAAAGCCAGAGGGCGCTCTCGCGCAGCAACTCCCAATTATGCCCCGCAGAAGTACCATAACATGCGTAGTTCCAGGAAATGCCTATGGGCCTCTTTCTATGATAAAGTATATTTATAATGATGATGTTTGACGAGTATTGCTTTTACAAATGCACATAAGGGACTCAAACTCATAATGATTTCAGACGGAGCAGCACTTCCTACTGATCAAAGAGCCATGCTTCACGGACAAGCTGCACATAAAAACAATCGCAAACTTTGCGATATCATAATTGCACTTAACAGGTCGATTTATGCGAGATGTAGTGTTAATCGTGATTTATCGTGCAGCGCTAATATCCGAGCTAGTCATAAGATGGTCAATCAAATTTTCATGTTGCGATAACTGCTGAAGCTTTTATCACGGTATAAAATATTTCAAGGTATACGATATTTTCATGGTACACAATATTATCACGATATTGAAATAAGTTGCAAAAAATGTTGTTATATTATAACACGTATAATTGTTTTTTTGTTTTTTTTAACAAAAATAACTATACACTTTGTGTATTAAAGTGCAAATGAATTATAAAGAACAATAGGTAACACTTCACAATAAAGTCTCATTCGTAAACGTTAGTTAGTGCATTAACTTTTGGCTGAAAGAGAAAATGGACGAAAATATATGGCGCGTCGTATTGCCCAGCATTGTTCAGCGCACAGGTTTCACTCTCCCGCCGTCGTCACTGCACGGTGTGACGCTTCGCTCAATATTCCGCTCTATGAATGTGCGTTCCGTTGAGTTGCTCACGACCCGTGTGAACGCTCTAAAATGACGCTACCCTCTCGTGACGTTATGCTCTGCTCACATGCTCTGATAATAATAGCCTTGTAGGACTATACATTATTTGCAGGTATGGAACAAGAATAGATTTTTTTTTTCTCAATGTGCGGACACCAAGTACAACCATAACTTATTAGTCAATGGCTAAATACAGACATTATTTTGTCACCTAGCACCAAATGTAGTAGCATAATTGAGTGATTTACTCTACTTGCAATGTTGAGGGTTGTGTGATGGCAACAACCGTTACCAAATGGAACAAATACAGGACTTTCCTTCTGGTACACAATTACTTGAAAGATTACATGTCTTGGTATGCATGAAACGGAAAAAAAAAAAATCACTTAGAAACAATGTCGAATATGTGTGCCCTAGACAAATTTTGTGCTGTTTCAGAGCAAGCGCAAGCACAGCTTTTACTATTAAGGTCCTTGCACACTGAGTCCGAAATTCTCGTACGACATTTTCGCGCGTTAAACCTGATTTGAATTTTTTAAAGATGGACATCAGTTTCGGAGGCAGTGTGTAAACGTGATTGACACAACGTGAGGTTCACTTAGAAACGACGTCGAATATGTGTGCCCTAGACAAATTTTGTGCTGTTTCAGAGCAAGCGCAAGCACAGCTTTTACTATTAAGGTCCTTGCACACTGAGTCCGAAATTCTCGTACGACATTTTCGCGCGTTAAACCTGATTTGAATTTTTTAAAGATGGACGTCAGTTTCGGAGGCAGTGTGTAAACGTGATTGACACAACGTGAGGTCATATTTATTTTTTAACGTGCAAAAATTTCTGACTCTGTGTGCAAGGACCTTACATGGGTCATAATACACAACATAATTTCAAGTTTTCCTTTCTCTTTGGAGTGTTACAAGCTGTTCATGCACAGATATGATCCCTAAAGTTGCAAAGACTAAAGTCTCAAAACCAAAGAGATATTCTATATTCTATACTCGTCCACACCCTCCTAAAACACCTCGTTTAAACACGCCCCCACATGTCTACATCACTGTGTGGGATGATTTGCATAACACCGCCCAAATGTTCACGCAAAGTAGGCAGGCGTAACTTTGATTCTCGCTGCAGTATTGTTGCTTTGTTTGGTCTTCCAAAAGAGGACACAACTAGAAATCAGTGGTTAAGTTGTATTTACAACACTGTTCCTGAACACTTCAACCCAAATATTCAGATGTGTGCAGCGCATTTTACAGAGGACTGTTTCCTGATCCTGGGAGAGTAGACTACAATGCCATCTGTGGCACAAAGGCTTTTTCTATAAAGTGGGGCAATTCCAACTTTGCAAGGACAGTCTGGCTCTTCTGACTCGCAGCCTGTAAGTACGTTTTCATATTTAAATCGTTTAAACACGCCCCCACATGTCTACATCACTGTGTGGGATGAGTTGCATAACGCCGCCCAAATGTTCACGCAAAGTAGGCAGGCGTAACTTTGATTCTCGCTGCAGTATTGTTGCTTTGTTTGGTCTTCCAAAAGAGGACACAACTAGAAATCAGTGGTTAAGTTGTATTTATGTAGAGTAGCGTTTGTTGTTTGTCGTTTCTCCGAATTACAAATGCAGACATGGTTTTATGTTTATGCGGTGCGATGCAACGCGTAAAAAGACAGTATAAGTCATTATAATCCGTAATTATGTCCCCACTGGATGCAACAAATGCCTCGTTTGTAATGGGATTTATTGGTTTTGTCTCATTGCGCCGAGACACGGCTCCACAGTATGGTGAGGGGCGTAACATTTCCGTCACACGCTTGAGGTATTCGGCCAATCACAATGCAGGCGTTCAGTCATAATCCCACAGATGGTAGCTTCGCACCAGTGGCTCCTCAGCCAAGCACACGATGTCTGAACCTGCGGTTCCTCTCATACTGAGCAGGATTACCATTGCAACGACGGTACTGGATAGCTGGCCAATCAGCATACACCTCGCTTTTCAGACTGATGAGCTTTGTAAAAATCTACGCGTTTCAGAAAGGCGGGGCATAGAGGAGAAACAATAATGTACAGTATGTGGAAAATGTGTTTTTTTAAACCTTAAACCGCATAAACACGTTGCATTACACCAAATACACCAAATGTTTTTTTTAGCAACGTCATATGACCCCTTTAACCGTAAGAGCTGTGCTTGCTCTGATCTTATTTTCACGTTATCATGGGACTCGTGGTGAACATTGCAGTCATGAGCTCATCTGGGTTTGCTGAGGAAATATGTAGCATAATGGACTTGTTTGGGATTGTGTGAAAATGGAAGGCCACGTGGCCACATGCCTCAAGTCATTTTGTTTGTGTAGAGTATCTGGAGTATCACTGGCAAGTGTGCTGATAAGGCTTTTCTCATGCTGTTCTTAGGTTTGGTTCGCTCTGTGCGCACCAGTGTTTAGGACTCATTGTTCACACTGTCATTCTGCATGTGATGAAATCTGTTTGTTCAACGTTGTCAACTTTGTTCTACCACATCTTAGGTTATACGGGTCAAAGACGAAAAGGGGGTTTCAAGCATCAAAACAAAATGAGTTTAATACAGCTTTAAAAAATTTTCTCTGAAAATTAGAATGTGTCCCCTTTATTTGTATTTTTTATTTCCTGAACAAAAATGAATGGCTATCATGCATTTCCCCCATGATTTACAGAAGACACCCACTAAAATGTTATTCAGTGTAACAATAGTTCATATGCCCAAAAAAATCTCGTCTGGCATATTTAGAACAAGGATCATTAGATAACTTTAAAAGACTATTTAAGAATCACAAACCCCCACTCAAAAATTAATAAATTTTCATTTCAAATCTTTATCAATCTTTGACACTAGCAATAATTTTACCCATTTGTCAGCAAGATGTTTTTAACCATTTAAAATATAATGAAATGTAGAATGGTCACTTATTTTATATATATTTATATATATATATATTTGACTACGTACAGGTCAGAATAATTATGATTTTTCATTTTTACATAAATGTATCTTTTAAGCTGTATGAGGATGGAACATTATTTCACCCATATTTTGCCTTTTTACAAAAGTTACTTGAAACATTAAAGTCGACACTTGCATTCAGTATGCTTTTTATGTATATAAAATCAGTTTTGTAAATTTAATTTGACGTCTCGTCTTTGACCCACATATATCTCGGTCTTCTGTATTTGCTTTGAACCAATATATATATATATATATATTTGACTACGTACAGGTCAGAATAATTATGATTTTTAATTTTTACATAAATGTATCTTTTAAGCTGTATGAGGATGGAACATTATTTCACCCATATTTTGCCTTTTTACAAAAGTTACTTGAAACATTAAAGTCGACACTTGCATTCAGTATGCTTTTTATGTATATAAAATCAGTTTTGTAAATTTAATTTGACGTCTCGTCTTTGACCCACATATATCTCGGTCTTCTGTATTTGCTTTGAACCAACAACCAAGCAAACTATTGTAGGCATATAGATTTAAAATAGTTAGGACATCAAATATAACACAAGGAAAAGTCATTGTAATTTAAATAATTTCATATCAATACATTGCAATAAACAGCAATATTTACTACGGCTGGGTATTGAAGAAGTTAAAAAAAAATTTATTCGATTTATGATTCTCCAGCTTTCAATTCAATATGATTCATTTGGTAATATTTAAGGTACTTTTGGATTTTTCTTAAACCGTAAACTATACAGCGAACATTCTCACTTGGTGCTTTACTGTAATATTACAGATTAAAATAAACAACGGAGCCTAAACTATTTAATTGCAGTTTATTTTTTTAGATACATTTAACACTCAATTTAAAACTAAATTGTATGCAAACATTTATTTTGCACATATTACAAGTATATTTTTGTCAACTTTCTGTTGAAATAATTGTTTCTACGTCAAATTGTTGAAAAATAAACATTTATAGTACAAATATTTAGCAAATTGCTCCTCTAGAGTTCATAGAGACATTGAATGATATTCCTGAGGTGTAAATATAAATATTATTCTCAAGTTTTATTGGCATCTTTACATTATTTAAACACTGAGCGATTACCTGACACGATACATTTCAGTAAATTGTACTGTTTCTTTCAACACCTTCTGATGTTCATTCATGTTTTTTGTACTGTAACTAGTAGTAGAATAGTATATTTTTGTCAACTTTCTGTTGAAATAATTGTTTCTACGTCAAATTGTTGAAAAATAAACATAGTACAAATATTTAGCAAATTGCTCCTCTAGAGTTCATAGAGACATTGAATGATATTCCTGAGGTAAATATAAATATTATTCTCAAGTTTTATTGGCATCTTTACATTATTTAAACACTGAGCGATTACCTGACACGATACATTTCAGTAAATTGTACTGTTTCTTTCAACACCTTCTGATGTTCATTCATGTTTTTTGTACTGTAACTAGTAGTAGAATATCGGTTCACGTGCCGCTTAATCTAAGGCAGCTACAGCGATCTGACATGCCAAATTAAAAACGCCAAAACTACGTTTATTGTTTAAAATGTGCTGCTGTTAGTGCTGTAAGATAATGGCACTGAGTGTTTTTCTGTGTTGGCTGAGCTCTAACCCAAACCTCTTTCTGTGAGTCACTTATCCACATTTACGGATCTCTGCATCCTCTGATTCCCGCCACTAAACGATGCTAAAAATAGCCACAACTGGAGCCAGGGAAACGACAAATTAGAAACAAGGCAAACATGTTGTGCCTCTGGGCTCCCAGAAACGTCAGCAAGTTTGTTCTCCGAGTGTGAATCAGCCGTCTGTTCTAAAACAGACTTCCTCCTTTGAGAATAAAGTTTGATCCCATTTTCTCATTTGCACTGATGTGGAGGGATTCGGTATCACGCCTCTGATTTATCTACTCTGTTTCCTTCTCAGCGGAAACACAGGCGGTCGAAGTTGCCCGACCACAATGGACAGGAGCAGAAGATGGACCCTGTGGCTATTGAGAGGCAAAACGCCCTCTCTGGGGCGAACCACGGCCAGTCGAGGCTGCGCCTGGATCAGCCTGCTGTCACCACCATCGTCAGAAGGGGAACAAATTAGAAACAAGGCAAACATGTTGTGCCTCTGGGCTCCCAGAAACGTCAGCAAGTTTGTTCTCCGAGTGTGAATCAGCCGTCTGTTCTAAAACAGACTTCCTCCTTTGAGAATAAAGTTTGATCCCATTTTCTCATTTGCACTGATGTGGAGGGATTCGGTATCACGCCTCTGATTTATTTACTCTGTTTGCTTCTCAGCGGAAACACAGGCGGTCGAAGTTGCCCGACCACAATGGACAGGAGCAGAAGATGGACCCTGTGGCTATTGAGAGGCAAAACGCCCTCTCTGGGGCGAACCACGGCCAGTCGAGGCTGCGCCTGGATCAGCCTGCTGTCACCACCATCGTCAGAAGGGGGTCTAGACGGAGAAACAAGCCCTCTTTGAAGGACAAGAGTCTTGGCGGGCCGGAAGATGGAGTGGCGGTTGAAAAAGCCGCCCATTATGATCCCTCGAGCAGCCGTAACTTCAGCGAGATCAGGGCAGGGGAAATGGCCAAAATCCATCTAGTAGCACCAGGAGAGCCTGGCAGCGTTGAGGGTGCTCCTCAAGTCCCGAGCAGTGACTTTGTGCCCAAATGTGAGATCTCGGGCAAGGACGCCCTGTCTGCCCTCCACCGTGCGGGTTCGCGGCAGTGCAGACAGGAGATCGCCAACATCGTATGCCAGCACCAAGCGGGACACCTCATACCTCAGTCTCTGCCTCAGTTTTGCCCACAGCATGGTAAATGCATTCCTATCAACCATCATATCTTATCGGTGCGACGATAAATCGATTCGTGGATCGATTCTGCAATTTTCACAAATGCATCGCGATTCTCTCTTGAATCGATTCTGAGCTTAGTTTTTAACAGCAGATGGCGCTGTGTGCTTTAGAAACAGCCGTACACACACCACTTAAACCTAAAATAATCATTCATAAAGTTTGAAACGGTTGAAGCGAATTACAAGTGTTCACAGTGGGCTATGTTTACATTAATTAATTCATTAATTAATCAATGAATGTTTACATTAATAAATTAGGGTCAAGTACATTTAACCACTTACATTACTCAGCCGAACACACAAGTGCTCTTCTTCGTGAGCATTTAAGTGTGCGATTAAAAACTAGCCTAGAGCGCCATCTGCTGTTTAAAACGAAGCTCAGAATCGATTCAAGAGCGAATTGCGACGCATTCACGAAAATTGCAGAATCGATCCACGAATCAATTTATCGTCGCACCCCTAATATCCACATCCAGTCATGCTTGAAAGTTAATAGACATGTAGAGTTTGTTTGTTTTCTCCCTGTTAGGGTCAAGTACATTTAACCGCTTACATTACTCAGCCGAACACACAAGTGCTCTTCTTCGTGAGCATTTAAGTGTGCGATTAAAAACTAGCCTAGAGCGCCATCTGCTGTTAAAAACGAAGCTCAGAATCGATTCAAGAGCGAATTGCGACGCATTCACGAAAATTGCAGAATCGATCCACGAATCAATTTATCGTCGCACCCCTAATATCCACATCCAGTCATGCTTGAAAGTTAATAGACATGTAGAGTTTGTTTGTTTTCTCCCTGTCCATCTTTAGTGATCTCCAGTGCCATCCAGCATACATATTTTGCTGACACTGACCTCTCCAAGGTAGAGAACCCAGTCAGGGTGGTTTTTATGCTGGTGGTTCATGGACGAGCAGTCCGACAGTTGAAACGTCTTCTCAAAGCCATCTATCACAAAGACCACTTTTATTACATCCATGTGGACAAGGTAAGTTAGAAAACAAAATTTTGCGCAGAATTTGTATGAGTATCTAATGGCTCGTTTACACAGAGCGGTACGGTTCA